TGAATAAGATATAATAGATGTTTATGTGAAACCATGCAAAGTGATATGGGAAATGACATGAATTACATGAAAAGTAAACTACGTGATTACATGTATATGTGATATGTGAACTATATGGAAGTGAACTACATGATTATGTGATTATATGAGAATGGGATAAAGAGCTATGTGATAAGTATAAAAATAATGCCCATGTTATTTGTAATGAGAGCTAGATGTATATTTGGCATGCCAAGAGTCGAGGGTTACCTCTGTCTTTCGAGACATATGGACATATTACCTATGTCTTTCGAGACATATGGATAGATTACCTATGTCCGTAGGGACATATGGACAGTTACCTATGTTCTTCGAAACATATGGATAGTGGTCATTCGGGACAAATGCATAGGTCATTCAGGACATATTTCACATGCCACTCAGTGGGATTTATACGAGCTGTGTTGCCAGCATATGTGCACAACCTCAATATACTTGCATATCTTTAGTTCTCACATGTGTACATAGGCTAATAAAGAGATAACTTTGAATACAACGTATGTAATATATACATTTGATGTGTAATATGAATTGTATGATATGATATATGTGTGTTGTGGGTGATTGCATTTGTCACATGATACATATGAATGTAAGTTAATGTATATGTGAATGAATATAAATGACTTATATGATGATATAAGAATCGGTTATGAGATATAGAATATGAATGTAAGAGACCATATGAATAAAGAGATAAGAGATATAAAGGATAATAGTATAAGAGTATGATAAATACGTAAATGATGATATGTATATATAAGTAAATGTTTTATAAAAGAATATATGAGTTGGAATGAAGTGGATATATATGTATTTATGTACTGGTGAATAATGTGTTAGACAATTTAGAATAAATATATGGAATGTGCATATTAGCAATTAGTATGGAGATGATATGTATATATATGTTTGTGTGTGTGGTGTTATGCTTGTATATAATATGTTAGTAGAAATTGTTCATGCATGATCATGCGTTAGAGTTTTATTATATGTTTTATGCCTCACTAAGTCATCGACTTAGTGTGTGAGTGTTTCACACGTAGGTTACGGGCAGTAAAAAGAGAAGCTGAGAGAAGCAAGAAAGGTCAACATCTTCCTTACAAAGTTCAGATCAGAAAATAAATGTTTGATATGTATTTTATTCTTTTAGATATAGTTGGCATGTAATATATACGATTTGAATAGTAAATGCTCTGATAAGTTCGTAAACTTTTATGATGAAATAATATGAAGTTTTCTTTAACGGGAAATTTTCATTATTTTGAACAAGTAAAGGTTTCAAAAGTTGACGTGACACCTCGGACTCGGATCCGGGTCGGATATGGGTTGGAGGTGTTACATCTCAACCAAGAATTTATTAAAAGGAGAATGAGAGAACGGATTTAAATTACGGTTGCTGACATATTTTTTTATTTACGAAATAAAAAACTAAAATTACAACAAAAAATAAAGTAAAGAAGCAACTACGAATATAGTAATACTCTTTTATCCTTCCACTATTTTAATTAAGTTTCGACTTAATTAAATTATGAAGGGATTTTAATCAGTACCATACTAATGGAAGTATTGTTTCTGTTATGATGATTGTATGTAGTATGTAGCGATAATTAATATATTTGATATATCAATTTTTTAATCAATTTTTTAATATTTCAAATTATTAATTGGGTTTTATAATTTAGTTATCATCATTATTTTAAAATATAATTATAAAAAATATTGGAAATTAAAATTATTCTTCTTTGTTGAATATAAGGTAGCATTTGTTCAGAAGTTTTAATATATTAATAACATACACAACTTTTCGAACTCAAGTTTTTTAAAAAATATTCCCTTTAACTATTAAAATAACTCTATAAATTCACACTTAAATTAATATATATATATATTGATATGGTTGATATCGATACATAACCGACCACTATAAAGATATAAAAGCTAACAAAGTGGAGGAAAGGAAATATTCCATATATTAAGTACAAGAACAAAATCTTTAAATTCTCTCCCAACTTTTCCTTTTTTGTTTGTTTGTTTAGCACGCTGAGTACCAGAAATGGTATAATTATAAGATGTTAATACATTTGATTAGAAAAATAATTAAAATATGATTTTGATATAAAATAATACAAATCTAATATAAAGATATAAATTATCAATATTTTTATAATATGAATTATTAATTACACAAATTTTATGTATAAATAACTTAAATATGATTATAATATAACACAATGCACAATGTAAATATATGGAACACCAAACCTACATGCAACATAGATAGGGATAGTTTGACATCAGCCCTATACTGTTCTGGAGAAAATTCGGCATCATTGACTTATGGGCTATTTGTTTACTTCAGAATGATTAAGCGCTGAATGATTCAGATGTCTGTATGAATTAGCTCTGAATGTGACATGATATTTGATAATGGCTCTGAATCATTCAGAATGTACTTCTGTGCTGAATCAGTCAGCACTGAATCATTCAGAGGTGAGAAACAAACAGTCTGAATGTTGAACGGTTCAGCATTAAACGCTGAATGGTTCCATTCAAAGCCAAACAAACAGCCCCTTAGTGTACAAGGTCTGAGTGACAATAATGCATCATCTATTATTAAACTTTCTTAATATCCCTCAAATCAAACGATTTTAATGGTTAAATGACTATTATTATTAGGGTGCTCAATTTTGGTTTTAACTGAATTAATTGATCGAATCGAATTAGTTCGGTTAATTCGATCAGCCACCGAATTAATTCGGTCAAGGAACGATTAATAATTTTTTTAAAATTCATTTAACAGTTAATTGGGTTCGAAATCAGTTAATTAACCGAAATTAAATTTTAAATACTAAATGTATTATATATAATATTTAGGCTAAACCCAAACCATTTAAAATTCAATTCATAATTTAAGATCCAATAACTTTTAAACTGAAATCAATATTAATTAATTAAAAAAAACTCAAAGTTGAATGGGTGTTTTTTATTTTATAAATATATATTATTTAAATTAATTGTAAAAAAATTAATTAAAAATTCAATTGTTATATAAATTAGAAAATTTTAAATTTTTGTGACTAATTCGAAAATTGACCGAATTAACTGAAATTTGTTCGGTTCAGTATATATATATATATATTGGTACATAAAAGTTTAGGTCAATGGTGACTCCCCCAGTTCAGGGCCAACGCATAACTAAGACTCAATTGAGATTTATATAAGAATTTACATATTGCCCACCAAAAGTGACGGTGGTAAGATTCGAACTTGACCTTATAAACTCAAATTCTTGAATCTCAACCACTTGTACAACACTCGTGTATATCCTATCTTATGTTATGTAACTTTAGTTGTTTTTTTACTTACAAATTCCTAATAAAGATATTCAAAAAAATTCGTATAAGCTGCTAATTTTATTAAAAATAGAAAATATTCAAATTACAATAAAGGTTTACAACCACAATTGTAAATTAAACATAAAATAAGAATATTTTTCTAAATACAAGAAAACTATCCACTTAAGATCATACAAGGACCATACAAGGCTAAAAACCTAACCAAATAAACTCGAACAAGAGATAAATACTAATAGAGTTGACTGCATCGACAAACGAACCACAAAAGGAAATAAAGTTATTGAAAGACCACCGACATACTGCAAATCAGAATTGAGCAATGTGAAAATACTATCCACGAACATAAATCGCATATCCAAATTCAATCCCAGGGTCCAAAGCATAGAAGATTATCATAATGACAAATAAGTGTCATCTTGATTAGTCGTGGCGATGTCAAATCCAACCCTAAAAAATAAATAAAAACAACGGCCAAACAACAAAAAACGTGTCATAAAGACAAGAGAATTCGTGTTAAAAAGGCAGAATTATTAAGAATAAAAAAAGAAAAAAAATAAAGATACGCTATAATAAAATAAAGAAAAAATAATGAATATCGGCGATCTGTAATCAATACTAAGATTAGTGTCGTCGCCGATCACAAAAACAAAGAAGAAAAGAGACTAATGACGACTATGGAAAAAAAGAGAGAAAAAAACAACAAACCCTAACAAACAATTCCAATCTATTATTTGGTATGGTTAGATATTCAAAAAATTATATATCTATATTTGTGTTTAAATACATTTAAACGTGTAAACATGGACATTTGGAAGAATAAACCAAAGAATAAAGCCATATATCCATGGGTCATAAAGCTAAGATTGGTCAGATATTTGAAGAATAAAGTTGGCAACTCCATTTGCGCATGAACCTCATATCAAGTTAAAGACGTAAGACTTCTTGGAGAAAAAGAGTGAGAATCTATATGTGACGGTATACGGTGACTTCAATCCCCCACTAGTCTTACAACTTGAAAAGTCATGTGTATCTCGGAGCCGACTACTCGTCTAATATGAGGATGTACAAGAATTATATTTTATATGTATCTAAAAGCTTCTCGAATCAAACAATTTTAATAGTTAAAAGAACGATTGTTATCTCGAGTTTAAACACAATATTTGTATAGATGTTTTATCTTTTACTATTAAATGATTAATTTTTTTAAATATAACTACATTATAATCATACTAAACTAATAAAGAAAGTTTTGGAAAAGTCATCTTTACAACCATATTTTTGAATGGTCAAACTCTTTTAACTATGTTAGAATACAGTTGGTAGAGCACAAGGTTCTAAACCTTGAGGTCGTGGGATCAAGTCCCACGGAGGGCATTTCATAATTTGGAGGTCTCCTACGGAAGCTGCTCTCAACCTGGTGTTGGGGGCAGCCTACTATCTTACCTCCCCCTTACCCCATACATGGGAAAAAAGGGACAGCCATTTTTAGAATACAGTCCATGAATATTAAAAAAAGAAAGAAGAATGTGAAATTCTAACCCTTTTTCGTTCTCTATATAAGGATGATCAATGTACGCCCGTATCTCAACCATTAACCTCATAAGTCAAATTCTACTATTATACTGTAATTGAACAAAAACAATGGCAGCCATTTCCTTTGATCCAAGGTTCAATGTTGAGGTAAAGCAGAAGAGCCATGGTGTTGTGGTTGAAGAGATTGAAGGGCTCATCCGAGTTTACGAAAACGGACATGTAGAGAGGCCTCCAATCATCCCTATCGTCCCCTGCACAACCTCCAGTTGTGTGACAGTTAAGGACGTCGTCTTCGACAAATTCACCGGCTCGTGGACTCGTATCTATGTCCCAAACCACTCCGATAAGATGCCTTTGCTTGTTTACTTCCATGGTGGTGGATTCTGTGTTGGCTCCGCTGCTTGGAGTTGCTACAATGAGTTTTTGTCCGGTCTTGCTTCGAAAGCAGGTTGCATTATCCTCTCCGTAAACTACCGATTAGCTCCCGAAAATCGGCTTCCGGCTGCTTACGATGACGGCATCGAGACCCTTATGTGGGTTAAACAACAAGCTCTAAATGGACCGAGTGAACATAAATGGTGGCTAAGTCATTGTGATCTGTCTAGTTTGTTTCTAGCGGGTGACAGTTCTGGTGCCAATATAGCTTACAATGTGGCCACTAGATTAGGATCCCACGGAAGCGCCACGGCTGGTTCCGGGATCAAGCCATTGGTTCTCAAGGGCTCGATCTTGATTCAACCATTTTTTGGAGGCGAGTCCAGAACCGCAACCGAAATACATGCCCCCCCACAAGTTAATTCGGGGCTCACTTTATCCGCATGCCATGTTTATTGGAGATTATCGCTGCCTTTCGGTTCGAACCGTGACCATCCATGGTGCAACCCTTTAGCCAGTGGTGCAACCAAGTTAAGGGAACTGAAACTTCCACCCACGATGGTGTGCGTATCGGAGATGGATATATTGAAAGAAAGGAACATGGGATTCTGCAATGCTTTGGCCAGTGCTGGTAAAAGGGTTGAAGTGAAGATTTACAAAGGAGTTGGGCATGCATTTCAAGTTCTTCATAATTCTCCATTTTCTCAAATTCGAACTCAAGAAATGATTTCACATATTAAGACTTTCATCAACCAGTAATTGATGAATCATACATGCATCATGTAAATTTTAGATATTGTAGTTGCCATGTCACAGCCTATTTAGTTGAAACATATTTTAAATAATTATTTGTATTAGTTCAAAAGTTTTATATATATATCCTATAAATTTGGTTATGTTTATGTGTGTTAACCATCCAACTTAATGTTAATTGAAAACACGTGAAGCATCCAACTCGAGTAGAAACATATATAAAACTTGAGACTCAATAGATGTAAGATAATATCACTTGAGATTAGTGACGAGTATGAGTCGAGTTTTAGAGCAATCCGATTTGATTTGAAAAAAATATCCTTTACTCGAATCTGATCCGATTCAGATAGAGGGAAACTTCACTTGACTTATTTTTTTGGGATAAAATCCGCATTTGACTAAATACAAAAAAATATATGTAATTCTCACTATTATTCGATATATATATATATATACATACAAAATCACATGAAGCTTAGTAGATATGTAATAACACCATTTAAGAGATTTTATCATATTACTTATGGTCCATTTCAAGTTTTCGATCCAATTTCTAAACTATCCCTTAGCGTAAAGGGTAAGGGTAGAGATCTATTTTAAACACTGCACTTTTAAAATGATATGATATTTATATGTATTATGTAATTTGTATATACAAAATTACTTTCCAAGTGGTTGATAATATGTGATAGAAACAAGCCGCATTGACTTTTCTTGCCATTAACTGCACTATAGAATTCTATATTCCATTATAATTCTGTCTTGATAAGTTTCAACTTTGTTCTAAATCTCTAAGTATAATGATTCTTAAATTGAGTATTCCTCCTCATACATATCATATTCCAACAATAGTATGTTATTTCTACAATATTATTGTTGATAGAAATAATTTTATCTTATTGGTACTTAATAGTTTATCCTTTCTAATTTGGATAAAGAGTTGCAATCAGTGAGATAACAGTCGTTAATTGATTTTTTTTTATAAGAGAGATAGAAACAAAAGAAAAAAGATGACACTACAACAAAAATGGTTTTTTGCGGTGTTTTTTTGCCTATAACGGCGTTTTTAAGCGCCGCTAAAAATATCTACAGTGATATTACAAATGCCGCAAAAAGCGCCGCTAAAGTTTGCAACGTTTGGGGTCAAAAAATGCCGCAATATGTAGGCTTTGATATTTAGCGGCATTTTCCCCAAAAACGCCGCAATAGGTATTAAGATTTAGCGGTATTTTTTTAACAAACGACGAAATAGGTTTTGATATTTAACGGCGTTTTTTTCTCACAAACGCCGCATTTGGTGTCGATACAAACGCCGCTAAATATTTGGTATATAGAGGCCTTTTTTTGTTACAAACGCCGCTAAAGAAGACATAATTTAAACAATTTAAATATTTTATTTGATTACCTCAAATCTATTTTCTTCAACCTGTTCCAATAATCCAACAAACATGACATCAATAACATCAAACTCTACATCCATAAATCAAATCCAATATAATAAATAAAAGTTTTCATTAACGTAATATCAGTTCAGTTAAACAAGGTTCAGTAACATTAACAGAATGATATTACATAAATGAGACTATGATGGTGGATTCTGAGATTGCGTTTACTATAACATATGCATCATATCATTGAGTCATTTTTCAAATTCTTCACATCTATACTGATATGTTGCTTCTCTCTGTGCTGCCGCTGCTCTTTCTGCTTCCCTTGCTTCATTTTCGGCTTTCATGTTAGTCATTTGTTGATCCATCTCAGCCAACTTTTGTTTCAAACGACTAACTTCTAATTGGGAAGATTGAGACTGTGATGACATGTACTGGATCCAAAATATTTGGTGGGAGTAACGAACGATCCTTGACAACGCACCCGGCCATATCTTTCAGGACCCAAAACGTCATTAATAGCTTGGTTTTCAATGTCATCATCATTAACAAGACCTTGACTCGAAGCAATAGCATGATACTCCGCCCTTTTCTCCCTCAATTTTTCCTTATAATAAAGTGAATAATTAATTCAAATAAAAAATGTTGTGGTACAAATATAAATAAAGCCAAAAAAAATTAAAACCTCTATCTAATAAACGTACCATAATTTCTGCAGCTTCAGCAGTCATAGGAGTGTCATTCTTCTTTGTATGTGTCATGTCGAACAGTTGGATTCGGCCAACTTTAGAACCAAATGTATTTTCCTACAATGTACCATAATATAATTACATTGAGTTAGTATGTACATGGAATACAAATAACTATATGAATAATGTATAATACATCCTCATTGGCTATACAACAAAGCTCTTCGATCCAGCCGTATGCGTAAACTTTTGTTGTTGCCTGCTAGCAACACCAACATGTTCTCGGTCCTACAATGTCAAACAACCAATTTTAATGATGATTTATAATTCGTTAAAATTATTTTTGAAAAATACATCATACTTGTCTTTTTGTGAACTCCAAAATCTGACTGCATCTTCCTATTGGTATCTGAGCATTCCAGGTGGGACTGTTTGTAGCTTCTCTTCAAGGCTCAGATCATTCTTGAAGTATTTCTTCTTTAATGAGCTCTTGTGGTCTCTCCATCTCTTCCCTAACGCTTGCTTGACATAATCGTCAGAGACCTCTAAAGAAAATTTCTCCTATACAGCAAATAAGTGTTCAACGTAAGTATAAATTAGTATTGAATTGTTCTAGAATATATACTATAATGACATTATTACCTTAACAAAATCTAACGCCTGATTTTTGTTATTATTAGGCATTTCTCGCCATGACTCATAATTGATCGGTAACAGATTCATATTACGTCCAACTATGCCTAAGTAACCAGCTAGAAGACGTGTTTCTGGGCCAATAGGTTGACTGACATCGTTTCTTGAAACTTTGACACGGTGCCCTAGAGGAAGTTGGTATAATTCCTTCAACGTTGTACGTCCTCTACTCTTGCGCGTTCCACCATTTTCAACTATATAAGAAATTATTAAATGTAAGTTTTGAAAATGAACAAACTGATAAATAAAGTTTCAAAGATTACCTTGAATTTCTACATCTTCTTCAATAGTTTCAGGAACTTCAGAAGACTCAACTGCATTCGATTCTTCGTTATTTCTTTGTTCATGGTTTTCAGAACTTTGAACAATCCGCAAATAAATTATTTTTCTCCTCGGCATGATATCTGTAATAAACAAACCTTTGTAATAAGACAACGAATTACTTAATGAATATAATGAAAAACAACACGTTAAAAGTTATAACATTATAAATAAATAAATCAAGATATAAAATCGTACAACATTCTTATGTAATGTCAGTTGTCATAAATATATTCATCAACGTCCTCTCGAACCCATTGAAATTGTGTTGTATTAGTGATAGTTTCATCTAAGTTTTGTAGTAGTAGAGGTAAACATTTTGATCTTGTTTCAATGTCATCTCTACTTCCATCCTCGATGTCTATCAAGTCTCTGGGAGTATTACGTAGCACAACATACCAACCGTCATCCATCGGATCTTGATAGTAAAATACTTGTTTCACTTGAAAAGAAAATACATATGATTCATCCATCAATCATTGACCAGTGTGAATTAATCGAGAGAAATTCACCATTGTAAACCTGAATTTATCTCTTTTTATGCATTTGTTTACATCAACTCGTCACACCGAAACAACACAACCTTTCGTTTTCCATAATAATCTAACTCAATAATGTACGTAACATTCCATAATAATCGACCTCTCCCTCCTACGGATTATTGTCCCTGGCACTAGCATAACTCGTAGTTGACGAAGTAACTACGACTCCATAATTTTGTGTCCTCCTTAATCTTTCACGAGATTTCGTGTGGAATTTGAACCCATTAATGAGAAATGCATTATATTTTAACTATTCTATTCGAACCTTGAGAAAGCCATTTAACATCTTCACTAACTTCTCTCCCACTGCAAACCTATTGCACATGAATGGTGAATTAGTTTGCATTGATTTCAATATAAAAAGCAAGACATATATTACTTATAAGTATGTGGAATGATTTAGTTGCTTACCGTCTGGCCTAACAATTCATGAAAAGTTTATGTGAATAACTTATGTATCTCTCGCTGATGTAATCTTCGGGAGCGTGCACGAGATCTCAAGACTTCTTTAAACTCACTATAAAATATATTATGTCGTTAAAAATGATAAATATAAAATATTAAGAGATTTCATTAGGATTGGGTCTGAAATACTTACGTGCGAAAGGGATCTATTAAATTGTGATGGAAAAGAACATATCGGTGTGCTTGCACCCAAGACATGTCATCTAAGTGTGCAATTTCAATTTTCCCTAATGGTTGACCATAGCTTCCAAACAAATTATGTTGAGGTAAGTCAGTAGTACTTAACACATCATTTCGATTTGGTCTATTACATCTTTTTTCAACATCTTCCAAATATCTAGAGCAAAATGTCATACATTCCTCTGCCAAATACCCTTCAGCAATTGATCCTTCTGGATAACACTTATTACGAAAGTAAGACTTCAACTTGCCCAAGAACCTAAACACAAAACAAAATACTACGTAAATACATTTTATTAGAAGGAATAATCAGTAGTAATTTGAAACGTATAATACAATTAACACCTCTCTATAGGGTACATCCATCGATAGAAAATCGGTCCACCAACTCTTGCTTCGTGAGGAATATGAATTAGCAGATGCACCATAATAGTGAAGAATGAAGGCGAAAATATCTTCTCCAACTTGCATAAAGTTAAGGCGACTCGATCTTGTAGTTTATTAAGTTCTTCAACCATCAAAACTTTCCCACAGATAGCTTTCATTATACTAGAAAGTTCAATGATACAAGACGTCATCATACTCGACATGCAACCGCGAACAACTACTGGCAGTAAATCTTGCATTAATATGTGATAATCATGTGACTTTAAACCATAAAGTCTTCGATAGTTAACACTGACACATCGAGAAATGTTTGATGCATACCCATCTGGGACCTTTATATCCTTCAAGACCGTGCAAAAACTTCTTTTTCTTTCTTCGAAAGAGAAAAAATGGA